ATTTAATCAGTTTCCTAAATGACACTTTTGTGTCCATAGGATGTCAGGCTTTTTTTTTTTTTTTTAATTTTTGCACATGATTATAAAGAGAAGCATTGTCTAAAAACTTTTACCAGTGCTCAAATTCTTCTCCAGACATGCTTTCACAAGGGAAAACATATTGCATACATTAACTTTACATCAAGAGGTAGGCAACTTTGTTATGTTATTTATACTTCAGATTTTTTTTCTCTTTTTGATGCCATTTATGAATTTGACTTTAATTTTGCACTGACAGCAGAAACTATGCTTTCCTCTGAAACACAAGCAAAATTTTGGGGAAAAAAACTACCACCATCCAACTTCTGGAACATGGCAATGAACCCAATACCTTATTCAGTTTCTCCATTGTATAAAAAGGAGTTTTAAAATTCTGCTTTAGAGAGAAAAGTTTTTGAAAATCAGCTCTCTGGTCTAGTCAGTTTTCACCATCTAACACTTTCACCATCTAACACTATGAAAACATTACTCATGAAAGCCATGAAGTAAAACCACTATTTTCACAAATTCCACTGTAAAAGTAAACTAATTTCTTAAATAAGTAAATAAATAAATAAATAAAAAATAGAGAGCTACCCTTTCAGGAAAGATCATTAACTGTGCTGTGTTGTCAAATCAAAGGCACGTTACTAAATTTTGTTTCAATTAATTTAATACAAACTAAACATAGCTTTAGTTACTGGAAGACGTTTGCCTGTGTATCGATAGTTGCTGAATCTCATGGTAGTAGCAATGACAAAAGCAGCAATGGAGTAATATAGCTCAGCTGTTTTGAACCTGAACAAAAGGGTTGGGTTTTGCTAAGATCAAGATGAAAGTTTGTTTCAGTTCCTCTTCTCTATGAACCATGTCTATTCCCAACAGAAAAGCTTATAGAAGCCAAATACTGTTTTAATACTTGTTCTATAAAGAGCACATTCATTAAATTTCATGTTTATATATAAAATAAGCTACCTGAATCCCATTTTCTAGGCACCTAGATATCTCAACACATACACAGAAAAATTCACAAAAAAATTTCAGACTTGGTAAGTATAGTATTTTCCCATAACTTCTTGCCACAATTTCATTTAGAATGGGTCTCTGTTCAACTGCTAATGACACACATTATATGAAACAGTTTATCTTCTAATTTACATATTCTTTCAATTTTGAGAATGGAAAAAACCTACAATTACTTAGCACGTTTACTTTGATTTCCTCTTTTTAATAACATCATATCTGATCAAATTAGGTAGAAAATATACCAGCAAAAATACACATATACTTTCTGAATCATGAAATAAAGCCAAGTAATTTGTTCAATTTTGAGAATGGAAAAAACCTACAATTACTTAGCACGTTTACTTTGATTTCCTCTTTTTAATAACATCATATCTGATCAAATTAGGTAGAAAATATACCAGCAAAAATACACATATACTTTCTGAATCATGAAATAAAGCCAAGTAATTTGTTATCATAGAAACATAGAATCATAGAATAGTTTGAGTTGGAAGGGACCTTTAAAGATT